GTAGGTCATTTGTAATTACCGTGAGCACCAACACTTGAGGCCACTTGATCACCAATCCACGAAGGACAGCAGAGTGCTTGCATGAACTTGCCGCTTGAGGATATAAATGAAGCACACCAACAGAATTGGAGATGGTGGTGGCCGAGGGGTCTGAATGGGATGAGAGGAAACTATGCCATGGCACCTCACTTTGGTACCCAGAATTCCACCAAGCTGAAGGTAGCCATATTGGCAGCACGAGCAAATTGAAACACCACCCTGCAGTAGCTTCATGGACTGTACTGAAAGAGGGCCATGGTGTTGGTCGCAACTGAGCTCCATCACACACGATCTCTAGTTGAATTGCGGCCATGAGCATCCAATCAAGAACAATCAGTTTGCTGGCAACGAAGCAAGGTTGGAACACAATGCAGTAGACTGTAGTCCAATTTAGTCCAGCTCCAAGTAAACAAGGAGCTGCCAAATGTGTGTCCAACACATGTACTGAGGTCAGATTGTAGTCCAGCTATAGAGAATTAGTATGCTGAACTCCACACGATATGTCATAGGAGAGACTGTCAGGCACCATCAGAAACATCACGGCGGTTAGATGGACACCATCGTAACCATTAGCACCACTAACGAGATCGGCAAATGCAGTGATAGCACCAAACCACCGAATCGCATGTCCAAACAGATGACATCCATGAGAGTTGCAAGAACTTGAGAGATACTGATTGATGCCAAGCCCCTCCAAGATCTAAGCTAGGACCAGAAGACAAAATTTGCTGTAACAAATCTTGCTTAGTCGCCCAACGATCCTTGGCTTTTCCTCCTGCAACTCGAGATTTATGTCCTGTCACTTCAAGCAAGAAACACTGACAATTGCCACCACACTTCTGCTGTACTTGCTTCTGGAATCGATTACCAGCCTAGTCAGATTCACCGATAGCACCATCATACATGTCAAAAGCTTTTGATGAGTAGTAGCCGGTACACACCTGATCGATTATATCAAGTGATGGAAACCATGGGGTTTCCAGAGTCGACCCAAGTGACACAAGATGAATACCTCTCAACCATGTTGAACAACGACCATGGTAGAGGACGCACTGGCCTCACAGCTCACCAAACGGAGTTCAAGGTGGAGGCCATGGCTCAGTCTTTGTCTGATAGCACTCGCATCCGAGCTGCATCCGAATGGAAGCGAAAATAGCTCGCATCGATGAGGCAATTCATCGACACACTGTTGGGCAAGGTGTTGGGAGCCTCCTCCTCCTGAAATGTAAACTTTCTCCGAAAGGGCGCCTCACCGTTGATCACACGTAGATTAGACACCGAATAACAAGGTGCAAAACATTTTCCTCGGCCAAATTTATAATCATTGATCAAGCGGTTGTTTCGCCAACTCATACCCATCCAAAGACAAGCCAATGCTTCGCCACCACAAGGTCCTTGAACTATTGGATGCACAAATTGGTTGAGGCAATGGACTTAGATCCCAACATGCTCGTGGGTAAGGGTGGCATACCAGGCACAGCAAGGAAAATAAGAATGGAATGCTACAGAGAATGAACAGAGTGCACGATGGTGGTGTACTTGCTTGGCATTTCTTCAAACACCAGTCGAGCGTCCAGAAAGGCCTTGCACTCGATCACCAACTGGTCGCTGGTGGCGCAGTACCTCACGGGGCCCAGCAGCTTCACGTCTAGGTCTGCCTCCTCGCGACCAAGCTCGTCGGCGAAGTCGTTGTCGTGGAGAAGGTACTTGGCGCGTCGCATGGTGGCGTCCGGAGGGTCCGGGCAGCCGGTGGTACAAGTGCCCCCACGAAGCTTAGCGAGGAACGCCGCAGTGGGGACGCCATACTCGAAGCGGTGGAGCGCGTCGCCGCGAAGGAAGCAGGTGAGCACGATGCCGCTGTCAGGGGGCTGGAAGCCTTGGTAGATGGCGATGTCCTCAACACCCCCATGGATGCGGAAGTTGGTCTGCGACGCGAACTCGGGACTAGGGTCGCCCGGCGTGAGGTCGTCGGGGCCGTCATCCTCGGCGGGGTACTAGGAGGGCTTCATCGTGTTGATGCGCGCGAGCTACGGCTGCTGGCCAGGCCAGGGACGCTGCGGCGCCACCCTGGGAAGGGCTTCGGTGCGTGGAGGTCCTTGCGTGGGGAGCAGGGCAGAGCAGAGCACGAAGGAAGGCATCGGAGCAGCATAGGTGCGAGGCGAGAATTCCACGTCGTCAGAGTTGGAGCGGACGCAGCGGAACGAGCCCGGGTGCACGGCGAGGTTGTTGGGGATCTCATCCTGGTCGGCCGAGAAGAGGGTGGTGTTGATGGGAACGTGGCTCTACATGGGCGGGTCGGCCTCGGAGTCGAGCTTGGGGACGGAGAAGCCACTGCCGTTGGTGTTGTCATCCGCGTCGAGGCTGACGTCAATGTTGGGATCAACGATGGTGGGGCGGTCGTTGACGGTGGGGCCCGTGGCGTGGCCCTGGTCGGCGTGGAGGAGCTGCATGGTCGAGGAGACAGCTTCCTTCGTGGACGCCAACTCCTTGCGATAATCGCGAAGCTCGGCCAGGATCAACTGGAAATAGAGACCCATAACGCTCAATTGCAATCGGAATCGGTTGGTGAGGGATTTCGGTGGAATTCCAGGATTGGCTCTGAATACCAGATGTTAGCAGCAGGGTAGCAGGGATAGGTAGGGAAGCATCAGAGATCAGAGATTGGAGAGGAACTAGCAGCAGAGCAGGAGAATTGGGAGGAAGAAGATGAACACGAGAGGAGTAGCTAGAACAAATTAGGATATATCTGATTATTGATTATAGTATTCTTCATACCCCTCTCTCCACAGCCAAAGGTAAATATATACCACTCCATACACGGGCCAAGCCCAACCCAACCAGTAGAGGCACGCAAGCCAATAGGCCCCGTTCTGCTTATCCCATATTCGACTTGTTCGGCTTCTTTTTTCAGCTGAAATAGTGTTTTTCTCTCCCAACAATTCAGTCAGAAACAGTGTTTTTCAGCCAGTTTCAGCCAAAATTCTGCCAGCCGAACGGGGCTATGTCCGAAGCCCATATTTATTATTAATACTAGCCCATATCCCTAACACAGAGGTGCTGCGTGTTTTTCTGGGGTAGAGGAGGGTCATGCTGTGCTCGTCCCGGTGGTCCAGCTGGGGTCATGAGGCGCGGCAGCGAGGTCTACGGCAAGACACGTGCAGAGGTGCTCTCTGGCTCGCCGGCTCGTCGAGGTGCTCGCTGTTGCTTCTTGCTGCCCACCACATGTTCGACAAAACGCCATAAAGGGGTAGACTTACCCACTCGAAGAAGAGGTGACTCTATGCAATGCAAATTAGGCAACCAAACACACCCGTACGTTAGCCAGACTCAGACAATATAGACAACCAAATAACCATGGATTGACTCAGTGAGAGCAGACTAAGACTAAGACTAACCAGTCTTCAATACCAAACACATCCATGAGAACCAGGAGGGAGCAATGTGCCAATGTCCTTGTACGATCAACCGCTGGCATTAAAACATCGGCTCTAAGGAAATAAATAATTACGGCTACGTACGTACCTTGTAACTGTAGCAGCAACAAGACAATAATCTGTCAACGAGGCGAACACCGATCTCGCAACACAGCGGAAAGGCTCAAGAATTTGAGTGGATTCAGACCGGTGGGGAGAGGTTTGCCATCCCAGTAGTATATGTTGCCAGTAGCAATGGCATGTAGCAGGCCTACGTCTTGGTTTGGGTCAAGAGAAAGGAAAAGTCTACTTTAACTCCTAAAATTATGCAAGGTAGACTACTTCATCTTAAACTATAAAACCGAATTTTTTATTTCCTAAACTTTTCAAAACTGGTCTAATAAGCCACAAGCGGTTTTGGACGGTGGTTTTGCTACATTGATAATGATTTTATCTTTTATTTATTTATTTATTTCCACTGAATCTTTAAAAAAGCATAGTAAATCATAGAAAATCATAAAATAAAAAATCTAATTTTGTTGGACTCCAAATAAGTAGATTTATACAGTGAATATATAATATGGTATTCTTTAGTACAAAGTTTTTGTTGTATCTTTAGATCTATACTTTTCTATAATTAAATAGAATAATTCATAGCTGCAGCTTTTATGGTTTAATTATTGTGAAATTTTTATGGTAGGCTTATTATTGTATGCTTGAATTATAGTAAAAATTTTATACTAATTGGATCATGTAGAACTTAGTTATAGATAAAGTATAGATTTAACAAGCAGAAACCTAAATAAATCTATAACTAAGTTATACATGATCCAATGAGTATAAAATTTTTACTACAGTTGAAAAATACAATAATTAGTTCACCATAAAAATTTCACCACAATTAGACCATAGAATCTGCAGCTATGAATTATTCTAATTAATTACAGAAAAGCATAGATGTAAAGGTACAGTAAAAACTTTGTATTAAAGTATACCATATTATATGTTCACTGTGTAGATCTACTCATGTGGAGTCCAACAAAATTGGATTTTATATTTATGATTTTTCAAAGATTCAGCGGAAATAAATAAAAAAGAAAAGACAAAACCATCGTCAATGTAGCAAAACCACCGTCCAAAACCACTCGAGGGTTATTTGATCAGTTTTAGAAAGTTTAAGGAATAGAAAATTTGATTTTATAGTTTAGAGGTGAAGTAATCTATCCTAAATAAATAATCAGTGGTTAGGTAGACTTTTTCCTCGACAGAAAATCTGATTCCTCCCCTGCCTGGCGAACCTCACATCTTTAATCTCCATGTCCCAGACCGGAAGAATACGAATCTTTTTTCCTCTCTCAATGGGTGGCAACAAGCTTACTTTTGTGCTTACTTTTGTGGTGTGGGTGCATGCCCGTGTTGCTGCTTCTTCTACAAGCTACCTAGTACACAAAGTGGCCGTTGGTGACGAGAAGAGTTTCCCAGTTTCGCTAGAGAGAGATCATCCGCTGCAGCATGCAGGGGAGAGAGCAAGCCCACGGCGACGCGGCAATGAGCAGCACCACCGCCGCCACCAACCCGGCGGAGAGCGTCAGCTCCTGCCACCCTCCCACCCCGCCTTCTTCCCCTCCCCCTCATCCGGCACCGGCGGTGGTGTCGGCCATCCACGGCGCCCAACTGAGGCAGCCGTTCGACTTCGCCGACGCCAGCTCCGGCAGCGACGCGGAGGAGGACGAGGACTTCATCCGCGTCGTGGAATACATTGAGCGGGCCCCGCTGTGTGTATGCGGGCGCGGCCGCTGCGCGGTGGAGCGGGACGAGCAGCGCGGCCGGTGGGTGTACGTCTGCCCGTCGCAGCCGGTGAGCCTCCACAGTCCACACTCACCTCCGAAAAGATCCTCTCTCTCTCTCTGTTTTTTTTACCCTACGGTTTAACCACTGCAGTATTTAGTTAAAATTTCTTGTACTGCTTTGGGTGTGGGAAACGCAATCCGAGGGGAGTTTTTTGATTGAAGCATGGCGGTGAGACCTGTTACTGCGATAGAAGAGGTGGATTTGAGGATGCTAGAGAATCTGGGGGAGCAGAATGCTGGATTGCAGCGAGCGTTTCTTGGGTTCAAAAGCTCTTGGAGGGGTTTTGCAGTGGTTTTGGTTGACGACTTGGATGGAATGTATTGTAGTGGTTCCAGACTTCCAGGTGAAATTGCTGTTTTTCCGTGTCCAATTTGGCAGTAACCTGACGTTTTCGGATGAAATTGCGGGGTAGTAGTTTTTCCAATTGCCTGCAAATAGATCTTCCTATATGTGATTTCCAGTTTGTTGCAGAATCTTAACCATCACTCTACTAATTTTCTATAGAAGGAAATTTAGAGGATCTTGATCATCATGTTTGTTTTGTTCTACTGTATACACCTTGGATATAGTAGTTGTTCTTATGTGGATTATAGCAACCCTTTCTATGACAGTAGTCATTACTAAGTTTAGCAGAGGTCTCAGACAGGGTTTATCAAAGGTTCAGTGTGTTTCGCCAGCTAGCTGTCTGTAACTTCAATATGGAATAAGTACTTGTTATGTCTTCTGCTATTATTACAAGTTTACAAGAGGGTATGAGCAATTGAGCATTCATGCTTTTAGTTCCAAAATTGGTTCTCATTTTTTTTCCAGGTCTTGTCTAATGTATAGCTATCAAATTGGTGAAATTACATTGTCGTAATTATCCAGCCTTCCCTAATTTAAACTACTACACTTCCTAAACTCCTTAATGCATCTCCTGTGCCTGTGCTCTCTTTTGACTAATTGTTCTTCCTAGAATGTTGATAATGTGTTGTCTTTGCCTGTTGCTGCATGATTTTATATACCCCATTGTTCAACGCAGAGATTTCTAATGGGAAAGTACCATTGTCCTTGGTGTTCTATTTCCATGACTTCTGCACACTTATATTAAGAAATATCACAAGATGATCACGTGGCCCCACTAAATTTGTTTACTTGCCTCAATCATTTGACTCCTTAATGCATCTCAATCATTTGCGTCCAAGCAACATCTTCTTTTTGTGACTTGAGCAAGTATCTGCGTATCATGTAAGATATCGTATTAGTATACAACTAATCAGGTAGAGGCACTTTAGAAATTAGAAAGACTTATCCATATCTCTTCTTGCAATCCTATAGCAACAAATAGAAAGGTCACCTTTTCACTCCTAAAATGATAAACAAAAATGCTCATCATGTATATATTTTGAAGATATTCCAGTCTTTCAGCATGTGTAAGAATCAATATAATGATACAAGTCTTCTCTTTACTAGAAATACATATGGCCTCAGATTTCACCATTTTTTTTCAAAAAAGGAAACCTTGACCAGTGAACAATCACTTATCATGGAAATTTAATGGCACGCATTCAATACAACGTGTGGCGCTGTTCACTGAATCATTTTTTTTTCTCGAACACGAAAGAGAGGTGCACGTCTTTATATAGAGAAGAAATAACGGTCCCTTACAAACAACCTTCCCTTATCAACTTTGGGACAAGGAAGCATTTCTGTACATCATGAGTCAAAAAAGGCTAATCACATAGCATACATAGAACACATTGATCCGGGTGTGGTAGACCTATTTTTGCTAGTAGGTTGACTGTCCAATATTTGTTCCAAATGGCAAGCCATAAAAATATTTTATATTTGATGGCGCTCAGGATTTCCACAAGCATTTCCACGGTTCAAAAGTGATTGAACCATAGAAGAAAGCTCTATATGTCGATTTAGATGTGAAGTACCCACTTGCCTCATGCCTCCAAACATGTTCATCAGCCTCCAGTGTTAAATTCACATTTTTCTAGACATGCCAAACTTGCAAATACTAAAGCCCCCTGAATGTCTCTAATCCAAACTTAGTTCTCCAAAGCTTCTGCTACTGTATGAAGATTTATGGATCTTTTGGATACACAAGCCACTATTGCTGGAGCAAGATCAAGTAAAGAACTCCCACACAACCACCGATCTGTCCAAAACATGGTGTTTGTGCCGCTCCCAACATATGTGGTCACTGAATTGGGATGTCCAAACCTGACCAGGGACGTCCTTCCTCAGTTTTATTCAAACATAGCCATCTCCTCTGTAATGCCCAGCCCATAACATGCAAATTAGGAATATCCAGGCCACCTAGATCAATTGGTTGTCACCTTTTCCCATGCTACCAAGCAACAGCCACCATTAACCTCCTTTCTTCCTTTCAGCAAAACATTAAATCAATAACTATTTTGGTAACCTATCCACCCCCCAACCATATGCACTACTTGTCTAAATGTTTGGTGTACTCCACTTATGTAGGGCACATAAAGTAGTAGGTTTTGTCACAACTACAACCAAAATGATGTCAAGTAATACAATGTAGACTCTATGACTTATGAAAGCTCTCTGTTTACCCCATCCTGCTGTTATATTGTTTGTTACAGATCAGTCTCCAATCCTTAATTGCAACGGTAGTGCTCCCATTACATCCAAATATCATAATGTCAGTTCCTCAAAACTCATAAATTTATAGCTACAAGCTTGATGTCATAACCATGTCCTCGCATTTTCTGTAATATGCCCCACACATATCTTGCAGTTACATATACACTAAGTCTAGATACATAGTTAAAGACTTTAAAGTAATGAATCTAGAAAAGCCAAAATGTCTTAGAGTTTGGAACAGAGAGGGAGTAGAAGATACAATTAGAACCCCTAGTTTTCCAAGATAAGTAGCTTTCTGTTGATGTCTCTGGATAAATTTGCCTTTTGTTTGCATTATCATTTTCTAAAGCTGCAGGCTTATTCCTTATATAAGATTGTACAAGTTTGTTCAATTGTGTAGAGATGCTCCTGTATGAATCCCACTGTGTTTACTTTTCCTTTATCTTCTTTAAATTGAAGTTTACATTCTTCAGTTATGCAATGTCTTTCAACTAACTTGAAAATTATTTTGACTCACAAATATTTATGTTCTTTCATGTAACTACACTGATTTTCATGTATACAGTTGACAAAGTGTTTACTTGTTGAACATGACTTTGCAGAAGTGCAACCGTGTTTCCGTGTGTGAAGAAGTAGGTCTTGATCCTGAATTACAACCTGCTGTTAGGAGCCATCCTAAACCAAGCAATAATTGCGTGATCAACATCTCAAGCAATCATGTAGCTGAACCTAGAACACCAATTAATAATGTTAATCTCCGAGGTGCTGGTGCCACAACTCCAAATATTGTCAGCCCGCAGGCTACTATTCCTAAAACTCCACTTAATTCCACCTTCCAAAGTGCTGGTACTTCAACTCCACTTCATGTTATTCCAAAAGGTCCAAGCGCTACAGCTGTGGTTAAAATTAGTCCCCAAGGAGCTGGATCTAATGATAAATCGCCAATCTGCAAGTGTAACGCAGGGAAGTGTATAGTATTGAGAAAGGGCAGCGAAGACTACTATGTATGTCCTATACCCAAGGTAATGTTTCCTATGGTAAACACATTCAGTTTTCTGTTTATCTTGAAATGGTTTCGTGCACCTTGATATTATTTTCAATAGTAGTCAGATATACTTTTCCTTTATTAACTAGATACTTTATATAATATATAATGCAGTTTTTTCTTTTGCTAGTAACTTGGTATTAGTCCCCCCAAAAAGTGAGAAAAAGCTTCAAATGCTTGTCTTCTTGTGAAATTTTCAAGTAACATGTGCTGCTGCCTACCAGCAAAGTATATTTAGTGAAGAAGTTGCTCCTGTAATCATATCAGTTGCATAACATAGCATACCAAGCCAGCTAACAGTCGGTGGTAGCGGAGAGCCTAGTTAAATTTTCACTCACTTGAGTTTCAGCCCTAGGATGAATTTCAACTGAATTGTTGCAACTATACTTAACTTAATGTATACTACGACATACATGCTTTTGTGATGATTTTTCAAAACATTACAACATGATATGCTAACGAGGGCGCTAACCCCCTAGGCACCAAATCTGCATTGACTTGCTTTTTTATCAGAATCCACTGTAGGATCTCCACAGTAACATCCCGTATGGTATTGCTGTTAGGAATGAATGTTCGTCACATTACTGTTTATTCTGCAGGGATCAGGCGCATGCAGTTACATGGCACCTGTAGTTGCTGCTGTTAATGAACCAACAGAAACTGGAACAAGGGGGGACAAGCATTTGAAGGACAATCTTGTTGAGAAGGAAGATAATGGAAACAATCTAGATCAAGCACAAGACAACAATGCAAATGGATCGGTCAATCCTCCTCAACCTGATGAGAAAGAAGTTCATGGAAACAATCTAGTTCAAGCACAAGACAACAATACAAATGGATCAGTCAATCATCCTCAACCTGATGAGAAAGAAGTTCATGGAAACAATCTAGTTCAAGCACAAGACAACAGTGCAAATGGATCAATCAATTCTCAATCTGATGATGAATGGCCATTTGAAGTCGCCGATAATGAAATTGTACTCACAGCCCAAACAAGGACAAGTGCTGAAGTTCGTCAGGCATCACCAAGTATGAAGTGCGAAACGACTGCCATGGCATCAGAAGCACCCACAGAATCACCCGTGCCACCTTATGATACCAGCAGTCCCATTAATCCACGCTCAGAAAACAGTGTGTCCCCAACTGGTAGGATATTAGAAGCATGTGGTGAACTGATCATCTCATGCTGCTCTGGGCTGTGTCCCCCATAAGCAGTCAGGGCTCCTGCTTACTAACCGTAATCGGCTTTGGCATGGTAGTGAAATATACAATATAGAGGACCTTTGTTATGGTGGTTGGAAAGTACTCAACCTGGTCTGTAATATGTTTGGGCCCATTACCTGCTTAGTTAATAACTTAATGTAGGTTATAATTCATAATATCATTGTACATATATGTAGTAAGTATCAGCCTGTTCGCTTGGTCGTAAACGAATGTGGATTATAAGCCACAACAATATTTTTCTCTCACACCAAACCAGCCAGCAGTAATAATCTACGATCGTTTCAGCCGAAACGAACAGGCTGTATGTCTCTTAAAGGTACCTTTCAAGAACTGAATGAATTGAGGTCGGATTAATTATAATGTGTATCCTTCAATCTCTGCCTGTTCGCTTCTCCATGACCCCTCGTGCTTGGCTGGCAACAGGTGTTAAACGTGTCCGAACTAACGTTTAGTACTGTGATGTTTAACTGTTGAATAGAGTGTTTTCTGGAGTATGTTTCCAGCTTTTCTGCAAGAGAAGTTTTGCCAACTTGTGTAAACCTGTCCTTCTGGCAATTGCGATGGATGGATCACTGCTATTTTCATAAAAAAAATTCCCAAACTCTGGTCAGATAGTTGCAACTGTTCTGGCAACTTCTGAAACACTCAGCATTCTGGTTCAGCATTCAGAGTTTCAAGCGTGTGGGTTCTCTGAATTATTCTGGTTCAGCATTCAGAGTTTCAGGCAGATGGATTTAGCACGGTCCATCCAGTAGCAACTGAAACTGATAATTCTAAATACTCCAAGCACCAGCAGCTAATTCAGAGGTGCTGACGATAATAACCCATCATTAGCTACTTGGACTTTGATAGGGTAACACCCACCAACTTTTTAGCTATGTGCTTACTCAGAAATGTATTAACATGAACAATGAGAATCCATTATCCATTTACATCTGCTAGTTACACGGACATCATTTCCATGCATCCTGTCAAAAGCATTTTCCCAGGATTTCCAGAGGAAACCATTCAACTTTCATATGCAATAGCTTGAAAGAATTCTCGCCTCTCAAACGGGATGCAACGCCAAAGGATGAAGTGGCGCCGCTGGTTCATGGAGAGGCTCATCTCCCTTATTGTTCCTCCTGCGGCCACTCTCTTCTTCCATTTACCCCGCTCACTTTCCGCTGATTGCCTTGTCCGCGCGAGTGCCCGTGTCCACAGTCGACTGTAGCTAACGCATGCAAAAATTTCCTAGATGATCAAATCTAAGTGTAGAACCAAACGGTGGCCAATTTTTTCTGAGTAAGCTAATTTTACTTGGCATACTCTGGTCCGTAACCAAATCGTGCCCTAAGTTGTTTCCTGTTTTGCGTAACGCGGTGTGAGCCTTCTGTTGGTGTTTAGAGGTGTTTAGAGAGAGAACTAGAGAGATGTGTAGCTAGAGTCAGCTTCAGTTTCTTTTCGCGCTTTTTTTCGTTGGAACTCTGTGTTGTAAAGCTAGTAATCCTAGCAATACCATAATGCTTTATGCAAAGCGAGGCCACGAGGTCCTTGGTCTAAATGACTTAGCTAGAGCCAGCTTCAGTTTCTTTTCGCGCTTTTTTTCGTTGGAACTCTGTGTTGTAAAGCTAGTAATCCTAGCAAGACCATAATGCTTTATGCAAAGCGAGGCCACGAGCACTACTAGAGAAACGGGTTTTAGTTCCGGTTGGAAAGGCCCTTTAGTCCTGATTTTCCCAACCGGAACTAAATTCTCGGGACTAAAGATCCACACCTTTAGTCCTGGGTCTAAGGAATCGGGACTAAAGGTCACCCACGGAAGAAAAAAATAAAGAAAATCCTCGAGGCCTCGCTTGCTCTACGTGAGATTCGAACCCAACACCTCTCTCCTCATGCGTAGGTATATTACCAACTCCACTGCACACCACTTGTGACAGAGTCATGTGTGCTCTCTTTTTGAATAGACTCGTGGGAGACCTTTCGTCCCAGGTAAAAGACCTTTAGTCCCGGTTGGTGTTACTAACCGGGACTAAAAGTTGGTGAACTTTTACTCCGGGTTGGTGACACCAACCGGGACTAAAGATGACTTTTAGTCCCAGATGGTATTACGAACCAGAACTAAAAGTCATTTAGTCCCTAACGCAAAAAATATCGAGACTAAAGACTAAAATCGAAGTGGGTGAAAGATCTATTTTCTAGTAGTGGAGATCCTTGGTCTAAATGACTTAGCTAGAGTCAGCTTCAGTTTCTTTTCGCGCTTTTTTTTGTTGGAACTCTGTGTTGTAAAGGTAGTAATCCTAGCAAAACCATAATGCTTTATGCAAAGCGAGGCCACGAGGTCCTTGGTCTAAATGACTTAGCTAGAGTCAGCTTCAGTTTCTTTTCGCGCTTTTTTTCGTTGGAACTCTGTGTTGTAAAGCTAGTAATCCTAGCAAGACCATAATGCTTTATGCAAAGCGAGGCCACGAGGTCCTTGGTCTAAATGACTTGTTAGAGATTTGTACTCTCTCTATCATAAAAAAAATTATAGAATATATTTTATAAGTACACCTATTATTTTCATGATATATTTTCCAGTGACTCTAAACTCCAAATTACATTCTTTTATGGACAAAAACACTTTGCACACAATCTCTAATAGAACCCCACCCTACGCAAATACAACAACAAACGACGGACATGGTGGACTGAATGACGCAAGCAAGGTACCTTAGAGCAGCCCCAACGCACCACACTGTCCATATGCCCCAAGCTCCACACCGACGCCGAGTTTCCATGACATTGCGCACTAGCCCAGATCTAAACATCACTACTGGTTCAAAAATCCACTTCACTGCCGGATTTTGATCCGACAGTGGCATATCGGCAGTGATGGGGGTTGACATCACTGCCGGTCCTTAAAAACGACACTGATCTACAGGAAACAGTGTTGGTTCCTGGCTCCATCCGACAGTGTCCAGTTGAACAACACTGCCGGTTTGTAGTGCCAACCGACAGTGACAGTTGCTTCAAGAGTATCGGTTCTTGGCTCAAGCCAGCAGTGTTGAGCAAGACTACATTGTCGGTTCATGGATTAAACTGGTAGTGTTGTAGTAAATATCAGTGTCGGTTCATGAATCAAACCGGCAGTGATGTCGTAACTATCAGTGTCGGTTCATGGTTCAAGCCGGCAGTGTTGAGTAAGCCAACACTGTCGGTTTATTTCTAACTGGTAGTGATGGTTACGACAACACTGCCGATTTGTTGCTAACCGGCGGTGCTGGCCCGTTCGTATTTTATTTTTTTATAATTTATTTTAATTTATATTTTTTGTGGAATCGGGTTTGGCTTTATATACGCTACGTATACGACAGGTCCATCAAATTAAACATTACAAATGTTACGATTACAATTCAAATGTTCTTATCCATATCTCGATCCCTCAAAATAAAAAAGAAATGTTCCTGGACTTCACACATGCTTCTCGGACTTCTTACAATAATCTTGCGAGTTGCTCTGGGCCATACTGGTCCTTATACCTCACGGATTGTGCAATGGAAAATACTCCATATTTTTCCAATACCTCAGCTAAGATGAATTTTACGAGCTCCGATTGCAGTGCGACGATCTCCATGTCTAACAGCCTTTGGTGGTTATATTTTTTGCGCTGTCGTTCAAAAAAGATGATATCCAAAAAGAAACATTAAATCATTTTGTTGAATTATTAACAGACATAAATGAAATGGGGATTATACACACCAACTTATCGGCTTCTTCCGATTTCTCGCCGATGTAGCAAAGCATTGCCCACATTACATGGCCAAACTAAATCTATTTAATGTTCTTTATCCTTGACATGATAAAAAATTACCTCAATAATTGGACTGTTTATTATTCGGAGATCAATGTGGTTTAGTAATCATACTCGCTGCTGTCGAGCCAATTTTAAAAGTTGTTTTTAACTTTTTTTTCTAGAACAAACATCTATAGATGCCTTTTTTTAATCATGCTATACATTCCATCAAAATAGCATTATTTTTAAAATATACTAAAACTTATACAAGAAATAAATAATTTCTTGTAGTATATATAAGAAAATATTAGATGAAAGGTCAAAGCAAAACATCTACAACAGAAATGTGTTTGGATCAGTGACATTGCATAGCCTGCAATGGATAGAGTTGCATACATTCTTCATCTTTAAAACTATTTAAATAAATTAAGTCCATTTCTTGTTCCTCCGAAAACAATAAAAAGTGTACAGGACAACTTGCTCATATTGTTTGTCAATGTAAAGTCCATTTCAGCTGCTATTGGCAATACAACAACCGTGGGGCATTTCATCTAACACTTAGCGGGCAGTGAGCCACGCACTCACCGTGGGGGTGGGAAAACAGTTGTCCGCGTGCTCCTGAAGGCCTCGGCGGTGCTCCGGCATCGGGCGGTGGACGACGTGGGGAGTGCTCCGGCGTGGGGCGGTGCATGGGCGTTGGCGTCGAAGAAGAGGAGCGCGGGGCTAGGAACGACGGCGCGGGGGGCAGTGGACGGGTGCTCTAGCGTGGGGCGGTGCACGGGCCTCGGCGTCGAAGAAGAGGAGCGCGGGGCTGGGAACGGCGGCGCGGGGGGTGGTGGATGGGTGCTTCGGCGTGGGGCGTTGCACGGGCGTCGACGTCGAAGAAGAGGAGCGCGGGGCTAGGAACGGTTGGCGCGGGGTTGAAATTTGAATAATTTCAACCCGCGGTGGGCTTTTGTACCAGAGCTCATCACTGCCGGTTCTAATTATAAACCGACAGTGATGGAGGTACATCACTGCCGGTTGTAAGTCTAAACCGGCAGTGATGGGGGTACATCACTGTCGGGCCAATCTTTCAACCGGTAGCAGTGATTGCTGTGTAGCGGTCACAACATAAGTAACTTATCTTTTCCACTTCTTTCGAATTCCTCCTACTGACTCAACGGTTAACACCCTGAAACTTAGCCCCCGATACCCGCGTTCGAATCCCGAGCGGGCCAATTTTTTTGTTTA